TCGTTATTGGACACTGGCACCTAACCCACATTGAAAACATTTAGAGGGCAGGACTTAGCCCACATTTCACTCTGTGGACTAGCAATTTTGTTCTAAGAGCAGAGGATTGAGATAACTGGGTATAGAGGAAAGAATAAGACTTAGGTGCAAAGTCTGAACAAATTATTGTGCTTGCGAACAAATTACTTGGCCACCCTGAGATAATAATACATTGCTTAACAAGGTTTAAGTGAGGATTAAATGAAATGGCATTTCCACAGTGATCAATGTATGGACAGAAGTCTGAACTACTCTTTTCTATTTTTCCCAAGTCTTTTCAAGAGGGCCTAGGAGGAGTCACACCCAAGAACATTAACAGACCATTATTTTTCCCATTTAACAGGATTCTTCCTAAATCCTATCCCTGGCATAGTATCTTTGAGATGTATATTCAACTGACTGCAGTGTATTATTTTGCTAACCTCTTCCCAAGGCACAGAACTTCCCTTTCCTTGAGATGTAGATTAAGCATTTCTTTGTGACTCTCTTCCCAGAACACAGATTTTCCCTTCCAATCACCAGCCTAGGAATTGTGAAACCTACCTATAACCTACAAGCCCCTGCTTCCACATGTTCCACCTCTTTGGCCAGACCAATGGAAATCTCTTCACTAATTTTGTCTGTCAATCTCAAAAACAAATAAAAGGAACCCCTGTACGTGATCACCTGAGAAAGGCATGTATGCCTCTTCTCCGGGCCTAGGTCACTCATATTTGGCTTGGAAATAAACCACATTAATTATTAATTATTAATTTTTACAGTTGGTTATTTTTCCATTGATAAATGTATTAGAGCACTCATGAAATTGTAGTTATTTTTGTATAGAATTTTGCATGTGAGATCAGCAGATGGCATACTGTTTATGTTGCTGGACTCCTATATGGTCATTCAAGTCCCTGATCTGGCAGCTTCAAACTCACACTGAGTGCAGGTGCATGTGTGCCCAAAATCCTGACAGTGGAGAAGGGATTGTGGCATGGCCACGCCCCCGGGAGATGATTTCTCACATTCTGTCTGTCTCTCCAGCAAGCACGCATGCCCTATAGCAAAAATCTCTTTAAAAATTTGCATGTTTGGGACCAGCAGTTGGCGTAATGACTATGTGGCTGGACTCCCATGCAATCTACCACGGTTCAAGTCCCGGACTTAGTGGCTTAAATTCACACCAGGAACATGTGCATGCGTGCCTAAGATCCTGAGAGGAGAATGGAGAAGGAATTGTGGTGTGGCCATCCCCTCTGGGGGGTGATTGCTAGCTTTCTGTCTCTGTATCTCTCTGTCTTTCTGGCAAACACACACACTCTACAGTAAAAACCTCTCCAAAAAAATAATAGTAATAAATTGCATGTGTTATGTTTTCTAATGAAAGTTTAGAAACACTCATTAATCCTATTGTGTTTTCCTACTGGCATTTCAGGTATTTCTCATTTCTGAATAAACTTGAAGGGACAGTGGTCAATGCTTTAGAGTTTTTAGTTTCCAAAGCACCTTAGCTAAATGACTGACGTATAAATCAATACTGAGATGCTCAAAGTGATGCCCTTATCCCAGAATGATTTCATGAGGTCAATAATTCTTTTTTTAAATAATTCTTTTATGATGCAAATTAAAAATTCTCTAGTTGATCTTGAGATATTCCAATTTTATGTGCTATGATGAATTTCTTTAAAACAGGTCCCTCTGTATTAATTTTTTAAAAAAATTTTTGAGAGGTTTTTGCTTTAGGGCACATGCGCTCGCCAGAAAGACAGAGAGACAGAAAGTGAGAAATCACCTCTGGGGAGGATGGCCATGCCACAATCCCTTCTCCTCCATTCAGCCCTCAGGATCTTGGGCTCAAACACACACATGCCCGGTATGAGTTTAAGTCACTGAGTCCGGGACTCAAACCCCGGTTGACTACATAGGAGTCTAGCGACATAGCCATTATGCCAACCGCTGCTCCCAATTTTAAAAATATTTTAGAGGTTTTTTTTTGCTGTAGAGTGTGTGTGCTCGTGGAAAGACAGAGACAAAAAGCAAAAAATCACCCCCACCCCCATGGGATGGCTACACTACAATCCCTTCTCCATTCTCCTCTTGAGATTTTGGGCATGCATGCACACACCTGGCATGAGTTTCAAGATGCCAAGTCTGGGACTCAGGCCGCAGTCAACCATATGGTAGTCCAGGCCCCCAACCACCACACCACCTGCTGGCCCCCATTTTTAAATATTCTCACTTTTAGGAATGTAAGTCCTGGGGGAATGGCTTAAAGTTGAAAAATCAGAACCCTGAAGCTTCATTTCTTACCTCAGAAATCATTTTTCTATCTTAAATGATTATTTCAGTGTCTGGCTTCAAAGTCATGGAATTTTGGAATTAGAACAGCTGCATAGGCGATCCTAATTCCTTCTGCTTCAGGAATCTTACTGTATAGTATCCATTACAGATGGCATTCCACCCATGACTCGTGTAGCACTAGGGCCAAGGGAGTCACTGTTTCATAATGCAATTCGTTCTAAAGCAACTCTGGTTCCAGAGAAGTATTTCTTATGGTAAAGCAGGGATCAATATCCCTGTAACACCCCACACTTGGCCTTCAAATTATTTTGAAATCTCTCGCTCTTTAGAGCAGGAGAAGTTGATGTAATAAGGGGCAGCAGGTGGCGTGGTGCTTAAGGGCACTTGGTCTCACACATGGCTGACCAGTTCTCGAGTCCTGGACTGGTGGCTTGCTTTCTCACTTTCCCTTTTTCATTTTCTCTCTCTCATTCTGTCCGTCTCTAGTCAAATTAAAATAAATAAATAAAGTTAAATAAAATAATTCTTTTAAAAAAAGAGAAGTTGATGTAATTAGTATAAAATTAATGATCTCATAGCTCGAGTGTTTTAAGAGAAAATGTGAGCCATCTTACTATTTGTTGAATGAACTTGAAGGGGGATTGCAATGTCCAGCGCCTACAGAGGGGCATTAGAACTAGTCAGAGGGTTTGGTAGGGGGGCCATTGTACCGGCACTGGCGTGCACGGAGAACCACAATCCAGCCAGCACCCCTCAGCTCCGTCTTAGTATAGCTGAAGCAGTTTCACAGTGCTGGTCGACGACTACAGAGATGCTAGCTGATTTTGCAAAATTTTAGAATTTGAAAGACCTTCAAGTCCATCTACCCAAGATACTCTGAATTATCAACTATTATTCTGCCTTTGGGTTCTTTTTGGGTTCTTAACTAGCTAGTGGATCACAATCTCTGCTGAAGTTGGAAAAGCCCAGGGTGCTTCACACAAGTCCGCATTAGTCTCCTCTCCCTGAGAGTCTGGTTTAATCGATCTGGGATGAGAGCCAGGTGAGAATCATTTCAAAAGTCCCCCAGGGGAACCAGCCGATGGCATAATGGATATATTGCTGGACTCCCACGTAGTTGACCGTGATTTGAGTCCTGAACCTGCTGGCTTAAAACTCACACCGGGCACATGTGCGTTGCATGCCCAAATCCTGAGAAGAGAATGGAGGAGAAGGGATTGTGTGTGGCCATCCTCCTGGAGGGTGATATCTCATTTTCTGTCTCTCTGTTTCTCGTCTGTCCTGTGAGCGCATGTGCCCTATAGCAAAAACATTCTCCCTCAAGAAAAAAAAAAAAAACAACAAAGTTCCTCAGGTGATTCTCACATGCAAAACAAGCTTGAGAATTGTTGTTAGAGGTCCGCAGATGAGATAGTCGTGTCCACAGCTACTAAGGGGTAAGACAGGACAAAAGGTGACCAGAGGTCACCTCTGTGGCACTCTCTGCTTCTAATTCTAACCAGTCTTTTAAGAGGTTTTTTTCCTAGTGAGCCAGTCACAAAAAAACAAATACTACATTTCCACTCATATATCACATACTTAAGAATAGTCAAGGGTAATAATAATAATCTAGAAAAAAAATGAAAAGCTATTTGCTGCTGCTGATGTGGATAGCAATGTCTTTATCTCGGCCGATATGCATGGTAATCATGCGGGAGAAAGAAATGTTATACACTGTAAAGATATATGTGATCACATTCAGAGAAGCTCTGCTCTAAACTTCATCTTCTAGACTCCTGAAATACTCAGACAAGAAGCCATTTTAAAGCTGAGGTGTGTCCTGGCCTGTTCAGGGAAGCTATGCTCTAACTTCATCTTCTAGACTCCTGAAATATTCAGACAAGTGGAGGAGAGATTTTGTCACAGAATGACCAGAAACCACCGCAGAGGCACAAGAAACATGAGAAACCAAGAAAATATCTCTCCCCTAAGGGAAAAGAACAATCCCTCAGTACAGACAGTACAGTAGAATTC